ACTGGATTTTCTCTCCTACTGGAAACAAGAAAAAAGTAGGGGTAAAAAGCCCCCACGTGAAACAATGGTTCCCAAGACTGAACGGTAGACTCTGCAGAGCAAGAATCTCTGAGAGACCGGAAGCAGCCAGGGAGAGACCTACAATCACCTCCATTTTACTGCCTGGACAGAGTTTCCAGGGCCCAGCACAGGTAGGGAGGCCAGCAGTCTCTCTGAGTTGGAGACAAGGAGCTGGGACAGTCACGGCAGATACTGGAATGTGGAAAGCTGCTGAGGGGAGTGAGCTGTGGACCCCTATTCCACCTTTTCTTGAATCAACAACACATGAGTGTGAGAAAACAACCCAAGGCCAAGGGAAGCACCACCCAAAGAATTAGAGGAAACAATCATAGGCACCCCACAGGGCCAAGGGGAGTTCCTGTCCTCACCACCCCTGCTGGAGAGCCTCATGAGTCCCAGAGCATTGAGTTGAAGACTCAGAAAAGTTGGGCCTCCATGTTGTTCGTGATTAATTGCCATCAAACTCATGGCAACCCCATGGACAGCACAACGAACCACTATGTTCAAGCTCGTTGGTTTGTTTCAGTCCATTGTGGAGTGTCTTCCAACCTAAGGGCAAATCTTCAGCACTGCCTTGTCGGACAGCACTCTCCTGGGACCCACAGGGTTTCCACTGATTTTCAGAAGTAGATCAGCAGGCCTTCTTCCTAGTAATTAGTCCGGAAGCGCCATTGAAACCTGCCAGTCATAGGTGACCCTGTGGGTATTTGAAATACTGGTGGCATGGTTGTTGGCATCATAGCAACATACCCAAGACACCACAGTATGACACACTGACAGGTAAGTGGTGGTGGTTTGTCTCAATTAATTTTTTTTTTTTTTTAAACAAACATTGTTCAGGACCATAGTCTCAGGAGACACCTGGTCAATTGGTGTATCATAGTCCACAGTGATAATGTTGTACGTCCTACTTTGAGGAGTCGCACCTGGGATCTTAAAATGAGCGACCATCTGAGACCATATTGGTCTCTCCGTGTGCAGAAGAAAGAAGAGGGATGAAAATTGAAGAGGCTTGGGATTCAGTATTCTCACAAACTAATGGGCCATGAACGTCAGTCTCCGTAACTTTGAGACTAGAAGAACCAAAAAGATGCCCGGCTATCACTACCAATTGCTCTGAAAGTCCAGGAGAGAGTGGGAGAAAATGTCGAACAAAATTAAAATTTATAGTTCAAGACCAGGCTTACTGGTCAGAAAGATACTACAGGAACCCGAGACTTTGACCCTCACCCACCTTCTAGGTCCGGAAAGGAGTTCTCCCTCATGGCTCAGTTTCAGCCGAGCAGTGGCTAGATGTGTCATGGGGGCAACAACACTAGTAAGGTCTGCTCCCCATAGAATGGTCAGTCACTCAAATTCAAAAGGGTACCATTTACCGAAGGCCGAAGTAGAGAAGAGATGGCAGTAAGAGCCACAGGAGGAATGGATCACTGTTGTTGCAGGGAGGGGATTACAGTCATTGAGATGAAATAAAGCATATGACTTGTTGACTTGTAAAACATGATCTTATCTGTAAACCTTCTATCAATTCACAATAAAAAGTTAAAAACAACAACAACAAAAACCCATTGCCTCCTGTCAATTCTGCCTCCTAGCAACCCCTATAGGACAGAGCACAAGAGCCTCTTCAGGTTTCTGAGGCTGTAATCTTCCTCTCACAGAGCTGCTGGTGGGTTCGAACCACTGACCTTCCAGTGAGCAGCCGAGTGCTTTAACCACCCTGCCATTTGGGCTTTTTTTATTATACCCAGGAAAAGTTACATTGTAGTAGTTGCTAAAAATATTAATTCATGTAGTCCTGGTGTGGTGTTATAGATTAATGTGCCAGACTGCAAAGCCATTTGAACTGCAAGGTCGGCAGTTCAAGCTCACCAGCTGCTCCTCAGAAACCCTACACAGGGTCGCTATGAATCAGAATCGACTCAATGGCACTTAACAACAGCAATAACAATGTTTAACTAGCCATATGTAGTTGTTTATGTCTTTCTGTGAATTATCATCCAGTGTGTCTACTACCTTATGTGTCATTCAAAGACATTTCAGAGAAGAGCTTCGACAAGTTCACTGTCTTAGGCAATGTGTCTTTCTTTCTGTTTGTTGCAGACTGGTCCTGGGACCATCACACAAGCACCAGGTTGGGGACCTGCTTCGCCAGCCCTTGAGGGTCTCTGCCATTCCAGTCGCAGACAGCTCGTCTTGCTCCACGTTGCAGGTCCTCATTTGCAGTGAACCAAATTCTTACTGAGAAATCTTCCCATGTTGTCAAACTAATGTCCTCATGTAAACATCTGGTATTCACTTACTGATGATTATTTCCAACAGCGGTAATTAAAAGATTTGGCAAGTGAGCAATAATTAAGTGACCAGGCAGACATGATTGATATTCATGATGTTAGAGCTACAGCTTCCAGACTGGCTTTGTCAGAACATGAAACGCGCTCCTTTCTTGGACACAAAACCGAGTACAGTAAGAAGGAGTACATGACTATTTTTAGACGGAGCTGGAAGTGTTTAGGGAAATCACATATTTCCACTTTCAAATGTGGTGGTGTTATTGTTGTTAAGTGCCATTGAGCCAGTTCTGACTCTCAGTGACCCTGTCTAGGGTTTCCAAGGAGCAGCTGGTGGGAAGAGCCAGCCTTGTGGTTAGCCGTCCACTGCTGATCCTGCAATGCCACACCCGGACTCCAGATCCAGTCCATCAGTGTCAGGCTCAGTGATCTGACAGATTGCTCCGGCAACACTATTGTTGTTTGTATTGTTATGTGCTGTGGAATTGGTTCTGACAGGAGCAGACAGCCTCGAGTGTTCTCCTGTACAGTGACTGGTGGGTTTGAACTGCTGACTTGTGGTTGTCAGTCCAGTACAGTACTTATCCTACAGCTCCAGCTACAGGTTGTTAGTGGTTGTTAGCCACTGAGGTGATTCTGACTGATAGCGACCCTGTAAAGGATTTCTGAGGCTGTAAATCTTTACAGGAGCAGGAAGACTTACCTTTCTCCCACAGAGCAGTAGGTAGTTTTGAACTGCTGATCTTGCTGTTCGAAGTCCAGTTCGTAATCCACTAGACTACTAGGCCTGTGAAGTGCTATGAGAGATCAGATTCAAGGTCCTTAAAACTTAATGAATTGAAAGAGGTTTGATGGGACACATTTACACAGTCGATACGTAGTTTTTAAAAAATTAGCTGAACACCCGCCCAAACCCACTGCCGCTGAGTCGGTGCCAGCTCCTAGTGACCGTACTGGACAGAGTAGAAGTGCCCGAGGGCTTCCAGGACTTCAAGTCCCCACAGAAGCAGACTGCTGCATTTCTCCCACAGGGCACCTGGTGAGTTCCAGCAGCCAACCTTTAGCTCGTAGCTGAGCGCTTTACCACGGCACCACCAGGGCTCCTGAGCTTCACCATGTGCCATAAGTTGCCTTGAGTGACTCGTTTTGGCTTTTCTAATGTGCTGATGGCCTGCAGCCGCAGGAACTGTGGTCCTGAAGATTCCTGATGACCACGTAGCACAGCGGCCACACAGCGGAATCACCCAGAGATCCGAGACAAGTGCCCACTGCCGAGAGTTTGGTTCCCTCTCTCTGGTGGTTTCTGGGTATGTGTGTTATCTAGAAACTCTCCCAGGCCATTCAGATGAGCAGCCGAGGCTGCGAACCACAGCTTTAAAGGATCTGGGACATCTTACAAATAGGATACAGTTTGTAGTCTCAGAAAAACCGATGGGATGATAAGGTACAAACAAATGCTGTGACTGTTTATAGCAAGCTGTGACTGTCCCATTCTCACCGTGTGGTGGGGAAGGTCCTAGAGTCTGCCCATAGTCCTCAGGTGTTTCCTGCTGTTAAGTGCTGTCAAGCTGGTTCCAACTCAGAGCAGTCCTGTACAGGGTTTCCAAGGAGCAGCTGGTGGGTTTGAACTGCTGACCTTGTGGCTAGCAGTCTAGTGCTTATCCTAAAGTACCACACCAGGAGTCCACAGTCTTCAGGTGGTTGTTGCTGTTAAGTACCGTGGAGTCGGTTCCGACTCACAGTGACCCTGCACATGGTTTCCAAGGCTATAAATCTTCATGGGAGCAGAAAGCCTCATCTTTCTCCTCAGAAGCTGGTAGTTTCGAACTGCTGATGTGAGATGAGCAGCCTGACTCCTAAGCACTATGCTCCCAGAGCTCTTAGGTGAAAGGGGTTAGAAGCGCTCATGTGCTGTTCACACGGGGACCCTGGACAGGGTTTCTTAGGCTCAGTCGCTATAGGAGCACACAGCCTCCTCTCTCTGCCACAGAGCAGCTGGTGGTTTTGACCTGCCAACCATGCATGCTGTTAGCAGTCCCATGCTTATTCAACAGCGCCCTCCTATCCTGCTGGGCCCCTCCTATCCTGCTGGTAGAATTTAAACCAATACGACCTTTTCTGTGAACTGGCTGTATTTACTGCTCGACACTGAAAACTAGCGTGCCTCTTCACTCAACACCACGCGTTTCCAAGTCTAGCTTCTAGAAAAATCTCAGTACCTGCAAAGACAGGTATGTGCTCGAAGCGTTACTATTCTAAGTATTGTCAATAAGGCAGTTAAATCTTTCCAGGGGAAGTGCAAAAAAGATATTTTTTTAATTAAAAAAACAACAACTTTTTATTGTGAGTTGAATGAAGGTTTAAAGAGCAAATGAGTTTCCCATTCATACATACACATTTTGTTTCATGTCATGGATAGCACCTCCCCCCCCCCTTTAGAACTTTGTCCCTGGGTAGATGGATGCCCATATAGTCCTGTCAGTTACTTTACTGTGAAAAACTGCTGCAAATGGTACTAGGTGGTTGTTTCCAGAAAGTTGGCTACTTTGTATCTTACACCATATGGCACTTGTTAGGCATGTTAGGCATCTAACACAGTGAATACATTGTATGTCTTTCTGTAAACCACTCTGTCTCCTCCTCTGCAGGATGGAGACAGACTATAACCCGATGGAGCTAAGCAGCGTGTCTGGGTTTGAAGAGGATGGTGCACTCAATGGTGTGGAAGGAACAGACAT